GCATTGATACTCTTGTCACTCTGCAACTAGTAGTCAAAATAAATACTCATCCGGCGGCGGTTGGTTTCGATTCTAAGGGTCATCATTTAAAGTCAACAATAATCTTTCAGGTTGATTTTATTAACCAGTGTATCGTCTCTCTACTCCGTCTGGAACCAAAGAATCTATCTGCGCGGGAATGACGCTCGGCTGCTAGCGAGAGCGGATCGCGAAGGGGGAAGCATGGCGGACGACAAGGGGGGGGAGGATAAGGGAGAGAGCAAAGTGGAGGGTAAGGGGGAGGGCAAGGGGGAGGATAAGGGGGAGAGCAAAGGGGAGGATAAGGGGGAGGGCAAGGGGGAGGATAAGGGGGAGAGCAAAGGGGAGGATAAGGGGGAGGGCAAGGGGGAGGATAAGGGGGAGGGCAAGGGGGAGAGAAAGGGGAAGGATAAGGGGGAGAGCAAGGGGGAGATCAAGGGAAAGGATAAGGGGGGGAACAAGGGGAATTTTAGGAGGCCTATTAGAGATGAAGGTGGGAGCCATGGTGGGAGCGGACGTGGGAGCGGAGTAGAGAGAGGTTTTGAATGCAGAAAGAGCAGCAGCAGCAGCAGCTGCAGCTGCAGCGGCGGCGGCGGCGGCGGCGGGAGCAGCACGATGGGGCAGTCACTTTGGGAACCGATCTGGGAGGAGGGGGACCATGCTCAAAGATTTGAAGGGGGCGCGCAAGGGGGAGGGCACGGGGGAGCGCAAGGGGAAGTTCAACGGGGAGGACAAGGGGGAAGCCAAAGGGCAGAGCGCGGTGGGGGGCAAGGCGCTGTGCACAGGGAAAGCGGGGGTTTGGGGGGAATCGGCGGAGATGAGAGGGGGGAGACAGTCCACAGGGCGGGGGGAGCGGAGAGAGCTGAGAGGCGGAAGAGGGCTGCGGAAAGCAAGAGGAATGAGAGAGCGCGGGCAGGGCAGGGGTCACAGGCGAGTGACAGCAGCGGAGAAGAGCACGGCGGAGGGGGGAGAAGAGGCGGACGCAAGGGAAGCAGGTGCAGGGCAAGCGAGGGAGCCGGGGAAAGTGGCGGAACCCGGGGAAGCGGGGGAGGCGGGGGGAGCGGGGACAGGGGGAGCAGCGGGGAGCTGTGGAGATGGGGAAGGGTGGAGAGAGCAGCGTATCTGGTACAGGAAGCCATGGCGGGGCGATGGGTGCCTCTGGAGGCGGTGCGAGAGGAGGGCGGAGGGGCGGCTGCTCAATGGGTTGCGTGGTACCGGCGGGGGGAGGGCGTGCGCGCCGCCATGGTGCTGGCGCTGCTGCTGCTGCCCTTTTTTGAGGTGCGTGCAGGGGGAATATGGTGCCTGTGCTGTGCAGGGGGGTGAGGGAAAGCTTTAAGATGTGCGTGGATATGGCGCTTGTGGTGCTTGTGGTACTTTTTGTCCTTGGTGCCTAGCCCACAAGTGGGGGCTTCAGTTGCTTCAAATTGCCGCATAGAAGCCTCAACCTACACTACTGTCCCTTCAGCTAACCTCTCCTCTCCTCGCCTCTCCCTTGTGCCCTCCAACCTCCATTTCCCTCCCAGCTCCCTGCATGGTGCACGGCTAATCCTTCATCCCCTGCTCCCTGCGGTGACCCTTCGCTCTATGCTCTCAGTGGCCTTCCCTACATGCCACACTCCCTCACTCTCCTCCTCGAGGTTTGTGTGGGCTTAGTTTCCCCGCTTTCGGTGTTTCTTGCCTTCACCCTTCCATATACACATGCACGTACACACGTGCGCATACACACGTGCATGTGTGCTTGCATATTCCCTCCTCCTGTGTGTCCATGCATTGACCATCTGTACATAACCACAGCAACAACCTTGCCATAACCACAGCAACAACCTCTCCATAACCACAGCCTGCGGTCAGCCCTTTCCATTTCATGCCGTGCCTGCCGTCACAGCCCAACCGTCAATGCCCTCCCCTCCTTTCTTCCTTCCTGGCTCTCCCCCTCCTTCCATTCTCAACCCTCGCCGTCTCACCCCATGCTTGCCTATCAGGCGGTGTGTGTGGCAACGGCTCTAGGCTTTCTTGCCCTGCAGCACTGCATCCTGGGGGGCCCTTCCTTCTGGCGCAACCACGTCGCCCTGTACAAGGTCAGTCACTCTCAGCACCACCAGCAGCATCAGCTCACCGGCACTGGCACCATCACCACATCCAATCATACCCTTTCTCCGTTTCCCCGTTCCTCCTTGTCCCCCACACTGCTGCTGCCACTTCCGCTCACTGTAAGCCATCCCTCCCCTTCTCCTTCTCTTGCCAGACTAAAGCCTTTCCATTCCTCACCCCATTATTAGGCTCCCTATTCCCTCTTCCTGCTCTCTCCCAACCTTATCTCCCGAATCCGCTCATCCTGAGATCTGCTCATTTACCGCATCACCCCTGTCTTACCTCACAGAAGCACGAGGGAGGGGATTATTCCAGCTCTGCTCCTCCCTCCTGCGTCATCTCGCCCCGCACCTTTGTCTGAGGCGCCTAAAAGAAGACTTTCTCGTCCTCCCCTTTCCCCCCATCACCCATGCCCCTGTCTTAGCTCACAGCAGCACTGGGGATCATCGTTGACCGGGTTTGCTCCTCCCTCCTGCATCATCTCGCCCCGCACCTAGCGGCCCGCATCCTTCCTGTGCCCATCGCGCCCTACCTTCGTGTCATGCTCGCCATTCTCTTCAGCAGGTGGGCTTGTGTGGTCGCGTGGTAGTGTCAGGTTGAAAGTGGCGGTGTGGGTGTGGGTGTGGGTATGGGTGTGGTTGTGTATGTATATGTGTGTGTGCGCGCACGCGCGAGCATGCCTGCATGCATGTGGGTGTGCGTGTGCTTGTGCGTGTGGGTGTGCGTGTGCTTGTGGTTGTGTGTGTGCGCGTGCTTGTGTGTGCGCGTGTGCGTGTGGGTGTGGGTGTGGGTGTGGGTGTGCGTGTGGGTGTGCATGTGCGTGTGCGTGTGCGTGTGGGTGTGGGTGTGGGTGTGGGCGCGCACACGCGCGTGCTCGTTTGCATGAGGTAATGTGTTTTTTTGTTTCCCATAAAAAAATATGTTCTCGCGTTACTGATTTCTTGTCCTCTCCCGTTACGACTTTCTCTCCTGCCCAGTCATGTCTCTCCCTTACTGTTCCCCATTCTCCTGTTGCACGTTGCTCTTGTGCACCATTGCTTCCATGTCTCTTTCTCTTTCTCCATCTCCTCCTTCCATCTTGTTCCCCTCTCTTCCCTAACTCTTATTTCCCTCTTATCTCAGGGCAATTCGAGGCTGTTTCCGCACCACACTGCGCATCATCGCTTCGTTCCTTGACATTGCGGTCAGTCGATTCACCACGCATCTATGCTCGCACTCAATCCTCCTCTACCAATCCCGTTACTCTGTTGCTTCTAGTTCTCTCACCTACCAATCTATCTCGTTCCTGAATCGTTCCGTCCATGCACCCACGTAAATAAAGTGATCCCACTCGATATATTAATTTCTCTGACTCCCTCCCGCCCTCTCCTTCGTCCCCCTTTCTCCTGCTCCGTATGCTCTTGCCTCTCGCCTTTTGCCCTCACCATCTCCTTTCCCCTCTTTCTCCCTTGTGTTCCCTCACGTCCCTTTTTTCCCCACTCTCCCCTCTCCTCCTCCCAACCCCTCCCCCTCCTCACAGTCGTCATGGTATCATTCGCCTGGCTCGCCTACATCATCTTGAAACTATCTTTGACGCGCCGAAACAATCGTATCGAATTTCCATCACTCCCTTTTCCCTCTCCCCCCCACTTAATCCCTTTTCCCTCTCTCCCCCCTCACTCCCCGCCTCCCCACCATCCCACCCCATGCAGATCCTGCTTACAGTCTTCGTGGTATCATTCGCATGGCTCGCCTACGTTATCTTTGGCTTCCCTCTTCAAGAAACAACCACCACCACCATTACCACCACCGAAGCCATCACCGCCACCGCAATCAACCCCACTTCGCCTCTCTCTACATCCTCCTTCTCCACGTCATTCTCCTCCTCACCATCCCCCGCCTCTCCTCCCCCTTCTCCTCCCCCTTCTCCTCCCCCTTCTCCTCCCCCTTCTCCTACCCCCTCCCCCTCAGCCTTCTCCTCTCTCCCCGCATCTCTCCGGGCCATGTTCATCCTACTCACCACGGCCAACAACCCCAACGTCTGGCTGCCAGAGCTCAACGCCTCGCGCCTCTCCTTCCTCTTCTTCGCCTCCTACCTCGCGCTCGGTCTCTTCTCTATGAACCTCGTTCTCTCTGTCATCTACTCCTCCTATAGCTCCCAGGTGCGTCCGTCCCTTTAGTCTGCTTGTTGTTCCCATTCCTTGGCTTCTCTCTAGCCACCCCCTCTCCCCTCTGCTTCCTCTCCGTCCACCCACCCCTTTTCCCTCTCCTTCCTTTCCATCCGTTAACCCCTTTGCCTCTCCTTCCTCTCCATCCACCCAATCCCTTCCCTCTCCTTCCTCTTCTTCGCCTCCTACCTCGCGCTCGGTCTCTTCTTCATGAACCTCGTTCTCTCTGTCATCTACTCCTCCTATAGCTCCCAGGTGCGTCCGTCCTTCCATCCCTTTGGTTTGCTTGCCATTTCCTCTCCTTTGCGTCTTTCGGTCTATCCAACTCTTCCCCTCTCCTTCCTCGCCCCACCCCTTCTGCTCTCTTTCCTCGCCCCACCCCTGCCCCTCTCCCTCTTTTTTGCCGCCTACCTCGTGCTCCGTCTCTTCTTCATGAACCTTGTTCTCTCTTTCATCTACTCCTCCTATCGCTCCCAGGTGCGTCCGTTCTGAGTCCCTCTCACACTCACACTCACACGCTCTCACTCACACTCCCACTCTCCTCTCTTGCTTCACACCCTGCCCGAACCACCTCAAACCAAACAGATGGCAGCATGTAAGTGCAAGCAGGTGAATTTCACACTCACTCTCGCGCCTGCTCTCAAATTCACACTTCTCACTCACTTTCCCTCTCCCCGTTTTCCCTCACACATCTGCTGCTCGCATCATCCCAAACCCCATCACCCCATAAACGAAACTAACCAGATGGCAGTGTGGGAGCGCAAGCAGGTGACAGCAAGGGAGGCGTGTCTGCAGGAGGCCTTTACTCTCCTGGACGACAGGAGGCAGGGGTGGGTGTCTGCTCGAACCATCACACAGCTGCTCCGAGCCATGGAGCCATTCAAGTGAGTTTTGAGATGACTTCTGAGGCGACTCAAAAGAGGTTTGAGTCGTCTCAAAAGTGCTCGCTTGAACGACAGGAGGCAGGGGTGGGTGTCGGTCGGCTCGCACCATCACACAGCTGCTCCGAGCCATGGAGCCTTTCAAGTGAGACACGCTTAGCTCCTTCACCCGACTAAAACTCACCCCTTGAAGAAAGACCTTCAGCTTCCAGCTCAGTGTGTGTGGTTTTGTTCTTGCCTGTTGGATGCATTGTTGTATTGATTGCGTTGCTGAGTTGATTGCATTGTTTCTTGGCAACGTGTGTCATTTGCTCTCTCTCTCAAGTGATATTCCAGTTCACTGAATAATCACCAAGTGCTTTCCCACTCTTGCTACCTCTCCACCCCTCTCTCACCTCCGCACCCCACCGCCCCCCCTCTCTCCCGCCCCCCTCCCCTCCGCCCTCTTCTCTCTCCCCCTTCCCTCCAGGTCGCACCCACACGGCGCGAGGCACATGGCGTCTCTCTTTTTCCGCCTGGACACACGGGGCGACCTGCGCATCTGGGCAGACGAGTTCCAGGGGCTGTGCCACACCTTGGCGCACCAGGCCTCCCTCATTGAGGCGCAGTTTTCACTGGACTCGGAACACATACCATCTCTCCTTCACTTCCTCAAACGCCACTTTGTGCCGTGCGCTATCCCACTCTAGCTACCTCCCCACCCCTCTCTCCCCTCCCTCCTCCCCGCCACGCCTCCCCACACCAGGTCGCATCCACACGGTGCAAGGCACATGGCGTCTCTCTTTTTCCGCCTGGACACGCGGGGGGACCTGCGCATCTGGGCAGACGAGTTCCAAGGGCTGTGCCACGCCCTGGCGCACCAGGCCTCCCTTCTTGAGGCGCCTCCGAAGCAATGGTTCCAAGGGTGGTTGTGGGGCGGCATGGGGCAGCTGTTGCACGCGTCCGTTCTTGAGGCGCCTCAGACACAGCAGT